TTAGAGCAGTAGTGTCTGCATACCATGTAGCGGTAAAATTTCCATTAGATGGAGAAATTGCGACCTTTCGTGGAAATCTAAAGTAGTCTTGGATGTACTACCTCCGGGCGGTATGTAGCATGGAGCAAGAAGTGTTGAACATCCAACAATAGTGAGAAGGGGGTATTGAATTTGATGAAACTACCATCGAGATCCTCGGTGAACTTGACAAATCTGACATGCAGAGCACAATGATTCATTGATCTGGGCTCTCCAGGAGCACCATGGCGTATTCAACTAGTTTGTTGTTGAGATGCAGGGCATTCCAATAGACGTAGCATGCCATCACTGTCAGTTCAGTCATCCAATTAGTGTTGCAGAAGATCATATCAGCAGCTATAACTTTCATTGGGCCAATTTGTGAGGAGGTACAAAAGCTCAAGAAAGCAAGTTATATCTGAGAGGTAAAATATCCCTGTTAAGTATCTAATGTGGCAATGGTGCAGAAGTCTAATGAAAAATGGAGGATGTGTGTCAACTCACAAATCTAAATGTGTCTTGCCCCAAGGATGGTTACCCCTACCAAGGATTGATGCATTGGTGGATTCTACAATTGGACATTCAGTCATGAGTTTTTTGTACGCATTCTTCGGCTAATGCCAAATCAAGATGAAGCAGACTAACGCTAAGAAGACTAAATGTATTACAAGTGAAGGATTTTTGTTGTTATATTATAATGTGTTTTCGACTATAAACATTGGGGCTACTTACCATAGCCTTATGAATGTAATATTTGCCAAACAAAAAGAGAAGGAGATTGAACTCTATGTTGCTGATGTTTTAGTTAAAAGCAGATCGACCGAAGAACAATTGAATGACTTAAAACAAACCTTCCAAATGCTAAAAAAAAATATAATATAAAATTGAATCCATTTAAGTGTATGTTTGGAGTGTCGACCGAGAAATTCCTGGTATAACTTCTGACACCCGAGGCAATAAAAGTCAGCCTGAAGAAAGTATAGGTGCTCGTAAATATGTCTTCTCCTCAGAATATAAAGGAAGTGTAGACTTTAATTGATAGAATTGTAGTACTCAACTGATTCATCTCTAAGTTCGGTGACAAATATGTCACTTTCTTCAAAATACTAAAGAAAGCTAAAAAAATTGAATGGTTGACTGAATGTGAGCAAGATTTCCAAAGCCTAAAGCAATCACTAGCCTCGTCTCATTGCTGAAAAGCCCAAAGCCAAAAGAAAAACTCACACTATATTTGGAAGTCAGCTCGGAAGCCATCAGTTCAGTTATAGTTTAGGAGGAGCTAGGAAAATAATTACCCATCTATTACACCCTTCGGATCCTCAGTCAAGTCGAGGTTAGGAATCCAATTATTGAAAAGCTAACATTTACTTTAATTGTCTCTGCTCCAACCATATTTTCAATTGCACCCGATCAAAGTAATTACCAACCATCCACTCAAATCTATGCTCCCTCAACTGGAACATTTCGACCGATTCTTAAAGTACACTTACATTCTGAGGCCATGAGGTTTTAAACATCCTCCACAATTTGTAAGCAACCAAATGTTTAACTTTGCGTCATAAAATGATTTCCGCAGCAATTAACATTCGAGAAATGTTATCAATTCATTAACTGTCAAAATAACATATATCAGAACCGAGCAAATCAATAAGTAGAGCCTTATTTTTAAAGGCCGAGCCCGTTGACCTCATACAGCAGACATCATATTTCATTCCATTCTAATGATCATGGGGTAAAGTACAAAATATATGAAGTGGGAAGAAGATTCAAGCAATAAGTATAATAACAAATCTATCTCAACGCTTATTTGTGGTTGCTCTATATCTGGACAGTTGGGTTGTTAGAAGTGTGTTATATTACTTTAAAGCTTAAAGCTGGCATGGTAGTGGTATTATCCCCCACCAAGTTGATGGATCTAAAGAGAACCATCAGCTTGGAGCGAAGCAAGTTGAATCGTTGTTTGTACTGTAAATTGATCATGGGTGTTGATACAATGAATTTAGAGCTGCCCTGATCTGATGTGGTCTCTACTGAGACGATAATTGATCTCGACAAATTTAGAATGGGCATGGAACATCAGTTGTTTGCTATTGCCATGGCAGGAGATTGTGACTGTTGAATGCCAAAATCATGAAGGAGATGATGCAACCAAATAACATCTGAGGTGGAAATTGCACGAGCGTTGTATTCTGCTTAGGTAGATGACCTAGCTACCACGTGTTGTTTCTTTACAGTTCACAAGATAGGTGTGGGGCTAAGAAATGAGAAAAAACCTGTGATGGACCGAGAATTCTCAATATCTGCTGCCTAATCAGAAAGTCATAATAGGCGTGGAGTGTAAGGTTTCCTAATGTAATGTAACATGTAATATAGTCGATCATTTCGGGAAGGCGGCAAGGAGAGGGCAGGAGCCAAATCGGGAAGATAACCATAAAGGGAAAAGGAAAATTTGTGAAATCCAATCGGGAAGCAGCGACACAGAAGGAAGGAAATATTCACATGATTGCGGAAGAGAAAGAAGGAAAAAAAAAGGAAGTTAAAATTTTTCTGTTTTTACAAACTACCCTCATTTAAAAATTTTGGTCTCCAAATTCACACCCAAGCTCAACTCAACTAGTGGGAAAAATTTATGAGTGTATCGAGTATATGTGCTTTCTTAATAGCAACTCACAATCAAGTAAATAATGGGTGACAGACAAGGATGAATCTGAATCTACTGAATAACTCAAATGTATTGAATGCAAATTGGTATAATACGAATATATTCGATGCAACAAAGTTAAATAATTCTCTTGTTGGTTGCTTTAAAATAGAGACAACACCAATCACCGCAGCAGAAGCTTCATGAGCTTCTTGCTGGGTCATAACAGATGCACACAGTGGAATCGCCTGCCTAGACTGCCTTGGAGCCTGAGATCGCTGAGGCTGGTACTGCACCATTGAAGGATGTTGATACATCAGAGGTAGTTGTTGAGGTTGTTGGTACTGCTAGTACTATGGTGCATGAGGACGCTACTGATACGGTTGAGACGCCACCATTTGTTGTTGTTGTTGAGGCTGAAAATGATTTTGCTTTGCTTGAACTTTTCCGTGATACTTCTAAAATTATTGTCCATTTGACTTACGCAGCTTAATCTTGTGATGAGACTTGGAATTATTTTCCTGGGTGTTTGTCGTTTGCGACTGACCTTGAACTTTAAGGGGACAATCCTTAGTTTTATGATCAGTAATACAACAATTGAAGCACTTAGTGACAACCAAATTACAAGTCCCAGAATGTCATTTCCCACAATGAAGGCATTGAGGATTTGATTTAGACTTTTGCGCCTGGTGATTTTGATGCTGCTTTTTTTGGGAGCTCCCATTGGCTTATGTATCGGAATTCTCCCACTTCCCAGCATGTTTTTCCTCAAGGCATTGATCTCCATCTCCGCATGAATAGTTTGATCCACCAGTTCTCTATAAGTCATGCACTTAACTGCCGATAGGCACCTCCAAATATCCTCTCTCAAGCCAACCAGTAGATGATAGAATTTTTTATCTTCATGTTGATTAATTGATAGGATGAAATGGACGACACTGACAAATTGCATGTCTTACTCCCAAACTGCCTTCGCCGCTTGCTCCAGCTTCCTCAAGTCATTCATGAGCTTGCTTGGTCCGCCATAGGGAAATATTGTTCCAGTAATAATTTTTCAAAATCCACCCAAGATACTACTGCATCAAGCCCAAAAGTGTTGTGACGATGACTTTTCCACCAATCATCAGCTCCTTCAAGCAAGTAGAATGTCGCAATGTCTACCTTACTATCTTCAAGACATTTTATTCTCGAAGCTTCTTTTCTATATCATGAATCCATGCATCACACTTGATCGAGTCCACCGTGCCATTAAAGATAGGAGGATGTGTTTTCCAAAACTGATCCATCACTCCATCCATAGTGCTCATGTTGGTCATTTCCAATGGTTGATTGGGTTAAGTCTCCATAGGGGCCACTGGTGAGACTGGTTGAGTGGCTTGTATTGCTGGTTGCACCGCTTGCTGGATAGCTTTGACCGCTTATGCAATTTGAGCTACAAAGTTAGCTAGTAACACTTGGGAAATATTTTGTGTTGCCACCTCCATGATAGTCGCCAAGTTGAGACTTTGTGCCCCAGCAGTCTTGGCGATTTCAGCTGGAACAGCACGATGGCGATTAGGGGAGCGGAGAACCCTAGGAACAAGCACCTCACTTATAGTAGCTCTCTGAACTCCTCTTCCACGAGCGGCAACAACACTTCTTCGTTTCGGAGTCATTCTAAACAATCGAAAGATACGAAAATTTAAAATTGATTAAATAACTGATTTATAAGAATAACCTATCCCTTACCAAAATCTATGAATACAATGGGTATGAGATGCAAAGTAAATGAAGGTTAAATACAGAGCACAGTCTCGGATACCACTCTGTCACACTTCAGGTCCAGAAAGCGATACACCTCGGTAACACAAGACATGAAGAAAAGAATTGAACTTGTTATGTATTCTAAAGAGGAAAAAGAATATGCAAGTAATAATAGAAAGAATTAAGAAGAATTCAATTTTTTTTTATTTCATAAATATAGATACAACCAATACAACAAAAAGAAACTAAAATGAAAACAAGGAAATAACTACCCGACCCAGAAAGAAAAATACAATAACTTATACGATACTAAAAAATACCAGAAATAAATCTAAATTTGAAAAGTCTACTCCGGCGGAGATGACCCGATAAATGGTTGTGTGAAACCTATTATATTAAAATATGAACGGGTGGGTTTGAAAATCAAACTCCATAAATAACTAATATTTATTAAAGCATAAACGGTAACAAAAATGAGACAAGTAGTATGACCAATAAATAGGGACATAACACTATGTGTATAAAAAAATTAGCAAGGACTATCAAATGTTTATGATCATGAATAAAAATTATTTGAACACATGCACTTTTCTGAAAGATTATACATGTTACAATATCAGTTGTAATGGTACAGATATGAACAATCAATCATTTCACACTACCTAATAACACACACACACACACACACACACACATATATACACTTATATATATTGTTGGTTTAATACAACACCCTGAAACAATGAAAGGTAGCACCAATCCCATAATAAATTCACTGATTTCACTGAAGGACCCGTCGTACCTGCTAGCCATCACAAAAAGGTTTAATACCGACATAATAATATTATAATATTAGTTATATTTCATGCATCACAATCAACATAAAAATACTACAAAATGTCCACAATATTTATAACACTTATGAAACTGAGTTAATGAGATTTGTCACATCAAATATATGAAATAAATAGTAAATATTGAAATCATGAAGGGTGAAAAATAAAACATGAAATCAAGAAGGAATAAAACAAGGAAAATTACCCATCAAGGTCATTATGAGCAAAAGTGAAAACTATTGCATTTATGTGAATAAGATATGAAGGGTGCGAATCACAACCCTAAAATTTGCTAGAAATCTAATACCATTAGCAAAGATAACACTCCTAAATAGAAAGAATACGCTTATTCCATAATAAAGAGCAGTTACTTACACGAAGTGACCAACGCAATGCTTCTACGATTCGACGGTTCGACTATGGATCCTACACCAATTGAAAAAATAAATTTATTTATTTCTTAAACTAGGTGCTACCTAATCGCCAATTATTAATACTATTATTTTTGTTATTAAGTAATTATTAATATTATTATATTTTTAAAAGAAGAAAAATTATGAACTTAATTAAATTTAATAAATATAATCAAAAAATAGTATTTTGTTTATGTTTATTTTGACATGAAGGACATTATAATGCTTGAATAACTTTTGGAGAATTTACATCTGTAATACAACAGGAAACATACATCTTCTTGAATCCCTTCTCTCCTCCGATTTGCCTTATAATCCCGATTTAGTAAATCTCAAGGGGAGATGGATCTACGGGATTCAAAAGCTATAGTGCGCACGAGAGGGAGGAAAATGAGGGTTACCTTCCTAGATGGTTATGGGTAGGAGCAAACAAAAGTTTTGGTGGTCTCTATAGGCTACGACCCCGCCATTGCCTTCACTTCTAGCTCCAGTCGTGGTAAGGGTTTCAGGAGAAAGTTTTTGGATGGAACAGAGAGGAGAAAGAAGAACGGAATTTGGAGAGATTGGGAGGAGGGAGTGGTGATGTCTTCGTTCGATGTCTACCCCACGCTTTGTTCTTATAAGAAGGAGAGGTGGTAGTTTGATCATTTCGGGAAGGCAGCAAGGAGAGGGTGGGAGCCAAATCAAGAAAGTATCCGGAAAGGGAAAGGGAAAATTGTGAAATCCAAACGGGAAGCAACGACACAAAAGGAAGGAAATAATCGCAGGATTGCGGGAGAGAAAGAAGGAAATAAAAAAAAGCAAGTTAAATTTTTCTTTTCTTACAAAATGTGTCATGATAGTTGATGCAAAACTTTTGTTTATATACCCTGCTCAACAAAAACATGTTTTGTACCTTGCCAGCATTCCATCTGAGTGTAATTTAGTGCATTATGTCCAACAACAGTCCAGAACTGGTTAATCAAGTGGAAGTGGAATGGGTTCTCAAGTGGCTTGTGCTTGAAGGGTATAAAACTCTTATTCATGGCTTGTCTCCAATGTGCAAACTTTACTGCCTAAGAACAACACTAGGGATCTGGTAATTTTTGTAGCTGATGACCTGTTTTGAGGTGCGTGAGCACAGGATGGAAGGGTATCACAGCAGGCCTTCAGCAGTTATACTATTGAGTGGAGAGGACTATTGAATATGTAGGTGGTGAAAGGGGTTATGAGAAATGAGTTTCTTGTTGAAGAAGTGGAGCTGCGGGCTGCAATTGAGGGTGAGGGTTTGTTATGTGAGATGGGTGTAAGAGCTAAGGGGCTGGTGCTGGGGATTTGGTTTGTAGGTGGAGCGTTAGCATAGTGGGAGGCATAGGGGAAGGATTGCTCATCGAATACAACATGAAGAGAGATGAGAACCTTGCCGTCTTGGGAATTAAAGCATTTGTAACTTTTATGAACTGGTGAGTATCCCAAAACAATATATAGAGTGGCATGATGAGCTTGTTTGTGAGGTGATTGTGGTTTTAGCCATGGATAAATGCGGCATCCAAAGACCCTTAGAGGTCAATAGGTGGGCTTTTGATGGTGTAGCAGCTCATATGGGGAGATTTGTTGAGTGTTTTTGGATTGAATGCTGCTATGAAAAGTGTGTCAAATCATAATGTATAAGAGAGAGGAGCATAAAAAAGGAGAGTGCAAGTAGCTTCTATCAGGTGGCAATGTTTTCGCTCCGCAATCCTTTTCTGTTTTGGAGTGTGTGGTCAAGAGAATTGATAAATAATGGTATTTTCCAATAAGAAGCTTATTAGAGTAGTGTTGTCAAATTTGCCACCTACAACAAAATTCCAGCGGTAGTATGAAATTGAGTCTTAATCATTTTTATGAATGATATACATTTTTTTGTGGTTTTAGATTGTGTAAACATATAAAATACTCGACAAATCTTTGAGAAGACATCAATGAACACAATGTAATATCAATATCCTTGATGAGATAGAATAGGGTGTGGGCCTCATACATTCATTTGTATGAGCTATTGGGGGAGTACATATGTGATGAGGTATGAGAGAAAGGCTGTGTGTGACACTTGATTGGTATTACAACTATTACAATTTTGTGTTTTGAATAATATGTCTAAAAAGAAGTATGTCTTGAGAAGAATGTTGAGAACATCTTGGCTTGGATACCACAATAACAACAAGCATTTATATCACTAAGTGGGGTAGGCTGCATGAATGTCCAAACCATTCGCACCATGTCATTGGCATAAAGAAGAAGCAGCAACTGGTTGCGGATCCAGGCCAATGTAGTTGAATGGGTATATAACTTCATAGCTATGACCCCAAAAGTAGTTGTTTCCAATTTTGTGGATTAAAGATAGTTAAACAAATGGAATCAAATAGCATAGCCACTGTTGTCCTGGGTTAGCTTATATAATGAAAGGAGATTATGGGATAGTTAGAGGACATGCCATATTTGAGGTACGAGAGGCTTACGAGTAAAAGTAGATAGTATAACATTGTACCGGGACAAGTTGTTCATCTCCAACAAGAACCTGTTCAAATTCGTTTGTAGGTGTAGCAATTTAAAGGTGACTTAGGTTGAACATGAGGTGGATTGTCGCACCTGAATCCAAAACCTATTTAGAGACAGTAGCATTCAACGAATAGTTGGGAGTGGTGCATTAGAGGTTGGCACGATGCCTACTGGTTACGGCTGAATGGCAAATTTTTTTGCAAATTTGGTAGAATACCATAGGCTTGGAAGTGGTGACCATCTCATTTATGGGAAGTTAATGTGGGTTGGTTGTGACCTCAAACCTAAGTAGGATTAGTGTAACTTTGTCTTGGGGCTTGAAGACCTAGTTAGGGGTTAGGAAGAGTGTCCACCTTGAGATTGTGACTAGCAAGCTTGATTTCTTCACTATAGAGGCGGGAGTAGAAATATTCCAGATCCATTATTAAAGTTGTGTCCATATTACAATTTTGAACGTCTGGTATATTGGTGGTAGTCATTAAAGATATGTATATTGGAGTTGCTACTTGTGTTCGCACATAATGAGGATTGATCAAGTATTTTCCTATTTCAGTTGGATTACATCAGGAATTGGCTTTAAGCCCATATCTTTTTACTTTCGTTGTGGATACTCTTTTGGACATTTACATGAGGATGTACAATAGTGCATGCTTTTCGCAGATGATACCCTTCTTGTGGATAAGAATAGAGAGAGTACAAGAAAACTTGAAATATGAGTCTAAAGGCTTTCATTTGAGTAGATAATTGAATACAAGGAATGTAATTTTAGTAGTAGTAGCTCTAGAGGCAAAGTTGTAATTAGGGATTATCAAATCATTAAAAGGTGTGAACGTTTTAGATATCTCGAGTCTATTGTTCAAAGTGATGATAATATAGATGGGGAGGTTATAGTAGAAATCAATTTGGTTGAAGTGGAGGAAAGCATATGATATATAGCGTGATAGAAAAGTATTGCTTAGATTTGAAGAAAATTTTATAAGATCGTACTGAGACCTATAATATTTTATGGCGTAGAATGTTGGCCTTTAAAAGAGAAGCATAATACAAAGTTAAGTGTTTCTAAGATGAGAATGCTTAGGTGGATGAATACCTTGACACTTAGAGACAAAATGTGAAATGAATCTATACGTAAAGGGTTGGTGTAGCTCTAGTGGCATACAAGATTAGAGAGTCGTTGTAGGTCACATTAAATGTTAATCCGGTTAGAAGAGTAGATGGTTTAGAGTAGACTTATGTTAAGAAGGACAGAGGAAGACCTAAAATGACTTGGACATATTGTATAAAGAATGATCTTAATCTATTAGATATAAATGTAGATACGACACTCAATAGGACACAAAGGAGAAAAAGCATTCATGTAGTCGACCCCACTTAGTGGGATACAAGGCTTGTTTATTGTTATTGTGGTATATTGGCGGTAGTCCATTTAACGTATACAAAATAATATCCTCTTGATTGATCTGTACTCCAGCTGCTGAAATGTCGACAAAGGCTTTGATAGTTGAAAAGTAGTGGGTGATAGTTTGGGATTTCATTGAGATGTTATTTAAATCATTCTTGAGTTGTATGAGGCATAACTTTTTAGTGGGTTGTAGCCTTTTTGAGAGAGTCATCCAGATATCGGATGTGGTAGAAAGGTTGAGAACATAATATAAGATGGCAATATATTGGAATACAATGCGGATGCCAAATGTGTCAATGATAAATTTGGGAGGACGTGGGCTACTGCCATCTAGAAACCCTATGAAAAAAATTGCTGTGAAAATTTTCAGGATTTGGATTTCCAAGAGAGGGTAGTTATGGGCTGATAGCTGATTTTAGAAGAGATTCTTGATATTACTCATGAGAAATTTAAGTGATGGTGGAATGGTAGTAATCTTAATAGGTCCAAGAGATGATAGTCCCTGTGTTGGGATGTCTGAGAGTTACACATGGAAGGATCAGATCGTACAAATGAACTATTTATTTGTAATTGAAAAGTTCAATTACCTTGATGTAAGAGTGGGGAGAACGAATTTCTTAGTAGATGCCAACAACAA